AGCCACTCATGGTAGTGCTTCTCCAACCCTCAAGGGCTAACTCCATGGTAGAGATTTGCTCCTTGGTTGATGAAGAGTCTCCAATGGTGTCTCTAGCCTCCTCCTCCTCTAAGCTTCCTCTCCAAGAGTTCTACAAGGTATGATATGATATGATGTGATATGATGTAAAAAGTAATCCTTATCCTTATATATTAGGTCAAATGACACCTAAAATAAGCTGGGGTCGTACAACAAATATTCCCCAATGATTGGATAAAGGATAACTTTTTGTGAGCTAGAAATTTAACTTTTTCACACTGAAGGAAGTTCGATTGATCGAACCTTGGACTTGGATCGATCGAACATGGCTGAGATCTATTGAACTGAAGTTGGATCGATCCTCAATGGCGGTGCTTTTTAGATAAAAACAAATCTGAGATATTTTGAAGATATTTTTGGGAAAAAGACAAAAATGGTTGGTAGGGTGGTACAACTAGATAAGATCAATCATTTGGATAAGGACAAGGTAGTTCGATCGATCGAAGAATGATGTTCGATCAATCGAACTTTTGAGATCTCTGAAAATGTCATCATGGCTCTGATCCATCTTGAAGTGCTGAGATCGATCATGTTGGATCAATCAAACTTCAATCTAAGATCGATCGAAGATGTTGAATTCCACCTTTTTCTTTATTTTGCTTCCATTTGGCTCCTTTCTTTGATTCATCCCAGAATTGCTTCATTTCTGCTCTTATTTGGCTGAGTTAGCTTATTTTCAGGATAAGTGCCTGAAAATGGAAATAATACGAAATCAATCTAAAACGGTAAAGTAAGATAGATAAAGGTACTAGAATACCTAAGCTTAAGGGGTTTAAATACACACTTTTTAGCACTCATCAAGTTTGCACATGCTTTGAATCTTTCATACCAAATTTCTTTACTAGTTTCTTTGCATGTTTTGATTGAGATATAAAAATCCCATCATTAAGTTGTTTCACTTGAAGACCTAGAAAGAAAGTCAGTTCACCAACCATGCTCATTTCAAAAGTATTACTTATATCTTTAGAAAAATTAAGAACAAGGTTATCACATGTAGCACCAAAAATAATATGAACCACATATATTTGAGCAACAAAAAACTCTTTTCCTTTCCTGAAAATAAACAATGTTTTATCCGCTCCTCCTCTTCTGAAGCCCTTGTGCATTAAATAAGAAGTTAACTTTTCATACCATGCTCTAGGTGCTTGCTTTAAACCATAAAGAGCCTTTTTAAGATGAAAAACAAAATTAGGATTCTGTAGATCAATAAAACCTTTTGGTTGTGCTACATAAACTTCTTCCTGCAAAATTTCATTGAGAAAAGCACCTTTAACATCCATTTGAAGCAATTTTAAATTAAAGCAACATGCATGAGCAAAAAGAAGTCAAATAGACTCAAGTTTAGTGACAAGTGCAAAAGTCTCATCAAAATCAATTCCTTCAACTTGAGTGTATCATTGTATAACCAATCTAGCTTTATTTCTCATCATAAGACCTTGTTCATCAAGTTTATTTTTAAAGATCCATTTGGTCCTTATGATATTAACATCACTAGGTTGAGCCACTAATTCTCAAACATCAATTTTCACAAATTGAAGCAATTTTTCTTGCATAGCCATAAACCACTCAGAACTTTGAAGCACTTCATCAACATTCTTTGGTTCAAATTGAGTCATGTGGCATGAGTGTCCTATGTCATGATCTACAATGCATGAGTGTCCTATATGATCACGGATTGTACTCCTAGTACCATGCTTATCCCATAGACCTATCATGTTGTCAATTGGATGACTTGATCGAATCCTAGAACTGCTAGATATGGGAATGTCTAAAGATGGTGCAAGAATTCTTATAGGTTCATCAATGGTGACCTCTAATTCCTTATCATTATCATCTTCAACCTCTTCACCTAAATTCTCAACTCTTTCTTCCTCATGAATTGTAGGTTTTATCCTTTCTCCTGCAATTTCAAAATTAGTTTCTTCTTCATCAAGTTGAGAAGAGGTTATCTTAGATTTTGTATCATCAAATACAACATTTATAAACTCCATGACCACTTTGGTTCTAAGATAAAAAAACCCTATAAGCCCGACTTGTTTGTGAATAACAAAAAAATACACTTTTATCACTTCTAGAGTCAAATTTTCCCAAGTGTTCCCTATCTCTAAGGATATAACATTTACTTCTAAAGACTCTAAAATATTTAACAGTGGGCTTTCTATCATACCACAATTCATATGAAGTCTTTTTAGTTCTAAGCCTAAGATGAACTCTATTTAGGATATGACAAGCAGTACGTACCAATTCAGCCCAAATATGACTTACAATTTTATTCTCATGAAGCATAGTACGTGCCATACCTGAAATTGTCCTATTTTTCCTTTCCTACACCATTTTGTTATGGTGTTTTAGGTACAGAAAATTCATGCTTAATGCCATTCTTATCACAATATTCAATAAATTCCATAGGTTCGAATTCACCTCTATCGTCGCTCCTGATCCGATTAATTCGATATCCCTTCTTAATTTTAATAAGTTGGCAAATAGACCTAAAATTCACAAAAGTATAAGATTTTTCTCTCAAATATGCAACAAAAGTAAGTCTAGAAAAATCATCAACTATAACAAGCATATATTTTTTTTCCTCCAATGCTATCAGGTGTTATGCGACCCATCAAATCTATACGAATTAATTCTAAAGGTCGAGAAGTGATTTTATGAATAAGTCTCTTATGTGATACTTTAGTTTGTTTTCTTAATTGACATGGGCCACATATTTCATTCTTAGGCATTTTCAATTTAGGCAAACCACGAACAAGATCATTGTTAAAGACAAATTCACTAGATCATTAAAATTCACATGTCCAAGTCTTTTATGCTATAAAACTGCCTCATAAGTAACTGTAGAAAAACATATTAGTGAAGAATATGAAAACACAACAAAGCAATTATCAGAAGTTCTAGTTCCTTTCAAGATGTATTCACCTTTTTCATTAGTTACAAAACACCCTTGTTGAGTAAAATTAACTTGAAACTCCTCATCACAGATTTGATTAATACTCAACAGATTAGCAGCTAAACCTTTAACATATAGAATATTTTTTAACTCCCCAATTCCTGGAAATTTGATCTTACTTTTAATATTTACAGTAGTAGTATTGCCATCACCAAAAGTAACAGTACTAACTGAGCATTCCTTAAAAATGATAAACAATATTTTATTCCCTATCATATGCCTAGAGCAACCACTATCAAAGTACCAACCACATGGACCAAGTGCTCTAAGTTTTGTGTGCATGACAAGGCATTTAAAGTTCTCTTTTTTTACCCAAACAAATTTTGATTCATTATACAATGATTTCCTTATTGTTCTAGCCAAAGTGCACAAGACTCAGAAGTCTTTTTCTTTCTCTTCTTCTTAATTGAACTCTCTAGATTTTTTAATTTATTTCCTAGTTCATTTTTTTTTTCTGGCACTTATACTTGATATGCCATTTTTTACCACAAAAATGATATGTTGAAATAAGTTTGGGAAAACTAGAGATAACACAAAGTTTGGTTTCAACTTTCACAAAAACTTCTTTAGATTTTTTAAAATACAAATCATTTGAAGTTCTCAACCACTCCTTTCAACTTATCAATTTTGCAAGTGTCAACTTCAACTTCCTGAAAAGACTGTTTTGATTTAACAAACTCACTACTCAAATTATCAATTTTAAGTTGGAGTGATTTATTAAACAAATTTACCTTCTTAAGTTACTTTTATAGAAAATCAATTTTATGAAGAAGATTCAAATTATTATGGCCAATTTCTTCCAAATTCTTATTAGAGACGGAAACTTCTAACTTATAAATATCTCTATCAAGTTCCGCAAGATTCGGTTTCTCTAACAATTTTTCAAAATCCTTTTTAAACTTAGACCATTCAATTTGCATGCTTGTGACAGAATAAAAAACAGGAGGTAAAGATAACATATCAACAAAAGCTGAACTTTCAGACATGATGCAAAAATCAACAAATATGATTTACTCAGTATATCGAGTTACTTGCTCTGATACCAATTGTGAAAATAATGTTAATGCGATGTGCGGAAACTGTTAGTTGATTTTAATTGTGATTAATTTCTTTAATGACCTAGATTTGATTATTAGGTCAACTTGCTTAATTTATGATTGATTAACAAGTTGACCTAATAATCAAATCTAGGTCATTAAATAAGTTAATCACAATTAAAATCAACTAATAACTTTCACACCCCGTTAACACTGTTTTCACACATTCTAAATCAATAATTAATTGTTGTTAGAAAAGGACTCCAAAGTTTATTATAAATATCAAATTCAATCTTTAGTTGATGTTTAAATTCACAGTTTATTAACATTAAAGTACACAAATCATCAAATATCTATATATATATCTATATATATATATATATACACACACACACACACACACATACATATAAGACAATTTATATATACTAAATGTTATATCTCACTTTCATCACGTGAATTTAGTAATACACTAGTAATTAATTTTGAAATTCATTTGAGTCTCAGAACCAACGAATTACACTACAAATTCATCAACTGTTGTTTCAATTGAAACGACTTGAGTAAGACCCAAAATAAATTTGAATTGTCACAAGTTACAGTCAGGAATTGATTATTTGCTTGTATTCATCTAATAATTGGTACCACACTAGTTGTCTTCCTTTTATTTATTTATTTATTTCTTTTCACTTCCTTTTATTTATTTATTTATTTCTTTTCGTGGGTAAAGTGGTACCACACAAGTCGTCATAGCTAAATCACTAGCAGATTCGATTGCATAAGCATCCAAGACAAGTGATAATGTAGCTCCAAAAAGGCCATGAATTTATGATACTTAGATATATATAAATACACTTCTAGTAGTGTGTATATATGGGTTAAAGTATAGGAACAACTTCAAACATAAAATCACTATGGCTCCAAAAACAATGGTCAAGCTTCCAGTGATAGACCTCACTAAGGAATACATGAAGCCTGGTACAGATTCTTGGAAATCAATAGCCAACGATGTCAGGCATGCACTCGAAGAACACGGAGGCTTCACAGCAGTATACGACGGAGCTTCTTTACACAATGCAATGTTCAAGGTGTCGAAAGAGTTGTTTGACCTCCCCAGGGACACGAAAGTCAGAATCACCTCTGGTAAACTTGGCTATGGATACCAAGGAAATTTTCGCAGCATGCCACTCTTTGAATGCCTTGGCGTAGAAGATGCAGCAACCCTAGAAGGAACTCAAAGTTTTACACGTCAACTTTGGCCCCATGGAAATAAAAATTTCAGGTACCATTTGAAAAAATAAAATAAAATAAAATCTTGGCAATAAAACCCATACACCTATTTTCCCTATATGTGAACTTAAACATTTACTTTGGGAGTTAAGGAGATACCATTTAAAATATTTTTATGATAACCATTGATAATTCAGAACTTGGCTATATACACTTTTTTTTTAGCACCTATATGTACTTATTTGTTTCAGTACTTCAATATATATATATATATATATCAATTTTTACTTTTTGGTTAAATAATTTTTGAAAACTTTCTTGGTAATAAACCCATGCATCAACTTAAACATTAGACTTTCACTTTGGAGTTAAGGAGATATCACTAGATTACAACCTCGATTCATTTAAAGTATTTTTATAATAACGTCAATAATTTCACGACGGACCTCTGTCGAAATCATGTCGCCCCTCACCAGGGCCAACCCTTAGTTATTTCCATCTCCGGAGATCATTTTTTGATAGAACCCGCTTACATACGGTAGAAATTTAAAAACAGACAACCAGACCGTCTGATCAGATATCGGACTTCACCATTACACTAAAACATCCACCGGATGATCCCCATCTTGTGGAATGTAAGAATTGTTGATACAGCTCCTGCTATCAGAACCGAAAACTCTGGTTTCGTTGAGATAGGCAATGTGGCGCAGTGGAACTTCTGGGTGCTTTTCTGACAGTTATCACAGTGGCCACTCGGAACTTTGCACTATATATACTCATTTTTATTTATTTTTAGCACGTATATGTACTTATTTGCTTCAGTACTTCACGTTCTTTTCATTTTTAATTACATATATATATATACATATATTTTGTCAGCGAAACTGCACTCTCGTACTCGAAGCAATTATCTAAATTGGGCGAGATGGTGATGCAAATGGTTTTTCAAAGCTATGGCGTTGATCAGAAGCACTATGACTCTCAAGTTGAATCAACTTCCTACCTAATGAGATTCATCAAATACCGAGTCCCCAAGGAGAATGAGATTAATACTGCTCTTTTACCTCACACTGACAAGCTATTCCTGGCTATAGTTGATCAAGATGAAGTTGAAGGATTGGAGATACAAACAAAGGATGGAGAGTGGATTGGTATAGAGCACTCGCCTTCCACATTCGTGGTCGTAGCAGGCGAGCCATTCATGGTGAGTTAATTATTTTTGAGCAAATTCTGTATATACGTTATGCATAAATATTTAAGCTTATATCATCATTTCCATTTATTAAAAAATAAATAAATAAAATCATTTCCTTTGCTTGTATTACTCTCCTGAAAAGCTGCAAATTTCATGTTAATAGGAGGACATTGCCGTTATTGCCGAAATTCTGACAAAATCCTGTTTTACAAAGGGTTCCATGCATGATGTTTTACTTCTTAATCTCATATAAACCCTACAAATTGCTTCGAAATCTATCATTTTGCTGCAAAACTATCAGAAACTGAAAATAGTGGTTTGTTTTTGTTTGGCATATATAAATATATAGGCATGGAGCAATGGCAGAATATATGCTCCTCTCCATCGAGTGGTCATAAATGGGAAAGTAGAGAGATACTCTATTGCGCTATTCTCATTCGTTAGTGAGATGGTGCAACCTCCAGAAGAGCTGGTTGACGATGAACATCCATTGCAGTTTAAACCATTCGATTTCTTTGAATTTCTTCAGTATTGCGGAGAAGATGGGAAGAATGTCAAATGCCCTATCAGAGCCTTTTGTGGTGTTTGATCCTTCATTATCGATCTGTAGAACTAAAGATTGATATATGTTTGTTATTCTTCCATTTTAATTCTGTGCTTGTGGTTAAGTTGTGGGGGGTCATATGTTGTGAATGTGTCAATAAGGACCGCTTTGTTTCAGTAACCAATGTCAAATAATTCATGGGCTTTGCCTTGTTTTGTTGAATAAAATATATGTGGGGTGCAAGTCTTGTGATGTATAATGTATGAAAATTGATTTTTGCCCTCATTTGAATCCCACTTTATTGCATCAAGCAGCCCCAAGCGGATGGGCTCGATCATCACTTCCGTCCAAAGCATATAACACCGATGATAATGTGTGTGTAAATTCCATGGAATTGGCTCCAATGGTTAAGTTATGGGACTTACGTTCAGTAGGAAGGAAAAAAATTAAATGGAAGTGAGAGAATAAATAATGACTAAGATATCAATAGGAAAGAGATTAAGCTTTCCCTGTTTTTTGTTCGGTTGGATGGAAGATAATAGAAATAACTGACAATTTAATTTCATCTATAAATAAAAGAAAAGATAAAATTTTAAATTGTTTTTACCATTAAACTCATCCCTTACTTTATTTATGAAGGGTGATGTAGTAATTTAAAACTTTTATAGTAGGTTCACTTATATTCTCTCCTATTTTCTATCCATATTTGGGCGGATGAAAATTTATAAAGAAGAAGGGATGACTCATCCTTACTATTATCCTTTCTTTCCTTATATCATCTCTATCGAATGAAGGAAATTTGTTCCTTCCTTCTTTCCTATTTTCCTTCCACCCCTCTTCTTTCCTTCCTACCAAACATAGCATTAGTGCCTCATGAAGCATTAAGTCTCAGGTTCGAATCTTCTCGAGTGCGATCAATTTCTTAGGGACAATGATCTCTAACATAGTCCGAGTTGTACTCGATTGAGTGAAGGAGTTGCTTTACACGAGTTCCCTAGATTAGTCAGGCCAAAGCCACTTGACACCTTGATTATCTATTATCGAACAAAAAAATCAAAAATAAAATAATGTGTTATATATATATATTACCTTTCAAGGTCTCGGATGTAATGGAATCGGGCTTGTATTGAAATTACCTAACAAAATAGTTTATCACACCGTCTTGAAATTTTTTTTAATTTCACACATAAGGTACGTACAAAATGTACCATTACATTATTTTTTATAACATAATTCAATAAAGAAATTTTTTTAATGAATTTTAGCAATTTTTATTAAATTTTTTAAGACCATTTAACAGAAGTAATGATTTGTTTATCAATTTTAATTAAATTAGGAAAAACTGCATATAAGTAGAGTTGGGAGTCCTAAATAACAGAATAGTATATTTTAAGACTTCATTTTTCAATTTGATTAAATTAAACAAAATAATTACAAAAACATCAAGAATTATTTTTAAGATTCAAAATGCCCTCCAAAATCTTATTTCAAAATACCAAAATATCTTTCTTGAAATCATATTTGTATAGGTATAAGAAATCATATTTCTTATACTTTTAATAATGTACTTATAATTTTTATAGGTCTACTAATCTTCCTAAACGCAGATGTCTCGATAACCTAATGAGTTAGTGCCTCCGGTGAATTTTGGAGTGTGACGGTCCTGGTTTTTAGGCCAGTGCGTCAGTGATGAACTGAAAGGATGATCCGATAACAGATCCGAATGCGGAAGCGAAAACAGAAAATAAGACTCTAAGAAGTCAAAGTGACCTTCCATGAGGTCGTGAAACTCAACAAGAACTGATGTGGAAGCAAAAGATTGAAAATAAGACAAATAAGCCCCTAGGGGCAAAATAGTCATTTCTGAAAACTGTAGATTCGAGTGCCACCGAGCACACCGCTGGAAGGACAACGAAAAACTAATCAAGATGGACTCAAGAATCACATGATTCGAAGTCCGGACGAAGGAGAAACGGCATGACAAAGAAAAATGAGTACTTAAGGCAAAAAGGGTAAACTAGTAATTATTCAGGAAGAACCGGGTGCAACTGAGTGCACCGTTGGAAAGACAGCGAAAAATTAGTCAAGTTCAAAAAAAAAATTCATTTGAATTGGAGTCCGGATGAAGGAGAAAAGCCCAAAAGAAGAATTGACGTCGCGGCGGCCCGTCGAGGAGCCATGACAGCCCCATGCACACGCCCATGCGCTCGCCTATGCACACTGCGCGCGCGCTGGGCGCACACATGGAGGCTGCAGTGTGGTTTTTTTTCAGAAAAATCCGGAACAGAGGCTGAATTTGGAGGCCTAGATGAATTTTTTTACAAAAACACAAAGAAGAAACCCCCCTCAAAATTGAGTTTTCTACGTGACTCACAAGAGAATTCAAAAAAACTCACTGTAAAATGGCCAAAATGCCCTCCCAAGAAATCTGGTCAAAAAAGCTAAAAAGCTGCTAAAATGAAAACGGGAAGCTGAAACTTCATGAGGGATTTCCGGTACCAAAACGATGTTTTCTGGAAAAACACAAAGAAGAAACCCTCCCTAAAATCACGTTTTCTAATCGACCATGTCGAAAGAAAAAAAAATAAAACTAATATGAAAGGTCTAAACTACCCCTAAATTAGATTATGCAACAAAACCTCAAAATGAGTTCCTAAGAGGCTCAAATTGCCAAGGAAGAGGTTTTTCTTGAAAACGATCATGCACGCAAATGTAACTAAATCAATTGCGTAAATCATCATTACCGAAAGTATTATGGAAACCAGGCATCTTGTGAGAGTTGGGGTAGCAAATCCCAAAGCTCTGACAACAATGTCACAGGCACTGTTATGCTTAAGGCCTTAAATCCTTAATACCACAGAACCAACAACTCCAATGTCTCGAAATTCCGGATATCATCCTGAAACAGATCAACTACAAAACCACACCAAAATCAAACATCAGATCAAAATCCCTATCACGGATGACTAAATCCCCGAAATACAAGTCCACTAAACGGTACACACATCAAGTCCTGACAACCAAAGTCACAAAGTGACTCTCTCAAAACCGTACTTGGCATCACCAAGCTAAATCAAAATCCTTTAATTTTAATCCACAATCAATTACTGGAACAACAATTCCTCAAAACTACGCCTAGCCATAACTAGGACGAGAAAACTCTATAAAGAAGCCAAATCCAACAGCGATCTTTCAAAACCTCTCCTAAGAGTCAACCACATCCAGGTCTCCAAAACTCAAAGCAAGTCTCTAAAAGACATTCTCAAAAGAGCATCGAGCTCACCTCATGAATCAACCAAATCCTCAATCAAATGGACACAAGTCCCCGAAAATGATCTCACACAAATCAATTCACTTTGAGCACCACATCCCCATCTCTAAAAGAAAGACAATAAGGTCAAATACTTCACCCCCTACATTGAAGTAAGTCAACCAAAATCCACTAAATCCTCACCAAGGACTCAAAACGACAACAATAATCCTCACGCACCAACTAACCCCAAACCATGCACAAGACAACGAAGAGAAGAGACTCACTCCTTGTGAAGTCCCAAACACAAACCAAGAAAAGGTGAGAACCCTATCCCCCCCACAAGTGTCAACACGACGAATACGAAAGGAAAACATTCTTCCCACCTTAAAGAAATGGACAGCTCAAGACAAAACAAATGTGACAACAACTTGTCTCAAAACAATGTGAGCCCTTACCACACTGGTAAAACTCTAGCAATCCATCTCCAAATCTAAAGGTGACACTACAAGTGACACTAACGGTGCAATGCTCTCACCAACCCCAAACGTCAATCAATCGACTTGATCCCAGAACTCAAAGAAAGCGGTAACTATTGACATACCAATAACAACCAAATCAATCACTACGACTAATCCCCAACATAACATCATCATCATCGATTAAAAGGACAACGCCTATCAAAACAAAAGCCAAAGCTGATTCCAGCCGAACTGCGCTCGTAGCTAACCAGCACGGTAGCATAACAGTGTCATGCACCCACCCACAACGTACCCGCCCACGAAAATTGCAATCTCAGAGGAACCTTCCAAAACAACCATGGTGCCCAAAAGGTCCAAAACCTAATCATGGCCCAAAATCAACAAATCCAGTATTGCGGTCATGCCTAATGGCTCACCCCACGAGAGCCTAAGCAAAAGGTGTCGCTTTACCTATCTAAAGTTAACTCTAGGTCAACAACAACGTAAACTACAATGAAACTGTGACTACAATCACCATCAACCTCCACTCGTGCCTCAATGACCAATCCCGTGTCATGCCAAATATGCAACACAATCATGCATATACAAATCTAATCTAGTATACATAATATGTCATGTTCTTTACATTAGAATCAAAATAAGCTAAACAGATAGCATAACACATATAACACGTAAGCACATAAACATGTTATCAAGCCAAAACATGTTATCATGAAACATATTAACACGTAAAATGAAGCAACAGAAATGTGATATGCACCCAAAACCCATCGTCCCAAGGTATTCAAACCTGGGAGCTCTGATACCACTTGTGACGGCCCTGGTTTTTAGGCCAGTGCGTCAGTGATGAACTGAAAGAATAACCCAATAACGGATCCGAATGTGGAAGCGAAAATAGAAAACAAAACTCTAAGAAGTTAAAGTGACCTTCTATGAGGTCGTGGAACTCAACAAGAACTGATGCAGAAGTAAAAGATCAAAAATATGACAAATAAGCCCCCAGGGGCAAAATAGTCATTTCTGAAAATTGTAGATTCGGACGCTACCGAGCACACCGCCGGAAGGACAACGAAAAACTAATCAAGTTGGACTCAAGAATCGCATGATTCGGAGTCCGGACGAAGGAGAAACAGCATGACGAAGAAAAACGAGCACTTAAGGCAAAAAGGGTAAACTGGTAATTATCTAGGAAGAACTAGGTGCAACCGAGCACACCGTTGGAAAGACAACGAAAAATTAGTCAAGTTTAAAAAAAAAATTCACTTGAATCGGAGTCCTAACGAAGGAGAAAAGCCCAAAAGTAGAATTGACAT